AAGGAACTGGCCTAAGTGACCTTGGACAACGATTTGAACCGGATCCTATAGCGTCAAAGTCAAAAAGAACGTGGAGGCCGTGATGTGGCCGGCACACGTGTTTCTCACAGGGCCTGGGTTAGCGATGCCGACACCGCTTCAGGGGAGCGGTAAACCGAGCAGGGCAGGCAGCCTGCGGGGGACGAGGGCGGGCCTGGCTGCGGGAGACATGCTGCCAACGGGCAGGGGAGCGAAACGGCCTCGGGGGCTGGGCTGAGTCGGCCTGAGGAGCGCCGGCCGCCAAAGCTGAGACAGCCTGAGCAACAAAATAAATAATGATGGTGTTGAATTATACCCATATAATAAAACAAATGTCCATTATTCCATCCTGACACAAATAAATAATGGGTGAATGACCGAGGGGAGAGGGGGCAGGTCACGGAAACCATCAAAAAGCAAACACCGTGGTAATAACAAGATCTCCCAAGCTGAGGAGAAATGGGATGTTTGCATAATCTCAGATCATCCCCTCTAAGATATTAATTACTGAGGGAAAAGTGAAAATTTTTCAGTGGAGAAACTCAGCAGACAGACAGCACTTTGACCCAGTGAGCAAGGTGAACATCACGAGGAACCAGACCCATCGGCAGCACGTGCCCCTTGATAGGATGCACCCGGCACAACACGTCTCTTCTGTGGACTTCTTGCAAAAATGCATAATCTCATCCCAGTCATGAGAAAACATTAGACAAACCCACACTGCAGGAGATTCTAGAAAACTACCACCCAAAGTGTCAAGGTCATGGCGGTAAGGAGAGACCCCCGAGGGTTCTCCCAGATTAGAAGAGACAAGGAGACTCAGTGGCTAAATGCGGTGTGGCGTCCTGGGAAAATAAAAGGACACAGTCGATAGCATTGTGCCAACTTTAATTTCCTGTTTTTGATTTGTGCCATAGTAGATGTTAACGTTAGGAGAAGCTGGGAAACATATGCATGGGAGCACTCTGTATTAGTCTTACAAATTTCCCTTCAGTCTAAAATTATTTCAAAATAATAAAAAATAAAAATTACTGGCTTAGGGTGGTGGGCAGGTGACAAGTGTCTCAGGGCCTCTTCTCTCCACCTTGCCCCCATGCTCCAGTCCAGAGCACCCACATTTCCCTTTGTTGGTGTCACAAGATACTTGACCCTGAGATGAGCCTGACCCTGGTGCCAGACAGCCCAAGTTCTGACTGGAACATTCTGGTGCCAGGTTCCCTCGTGGCCTCCTTTTTTGCACCACTGCTCCATATGGTCAGTTCTCCACTGAGGCCCATAAAGTCTGTTCAAAACAGAAAACAGCTCATGTTACTCCCTTGCAAAACTCCCCAAGGGCTCGCATCTCACTTAGAATGAAATCCGAAGGCAAAGTTGTGTCCTGGCCCCAAGATCCCACCTGACCTGCTCCCTCACCTCTGCGTTCATGCCCCACCTGCCCCTCAGGTCACTGTGCTCGGCCACCGGCCACCGAGCCTTCTTACTGGTCCTCTGGTAGGCCAGGCACAGCCTCTGTGGGCCTCTGTCTGGAAAGCTCTGTCCCCTTCCCTCAGGTCTCTGCTCTGCAACACCTCTGACAGGCTTTGGGTGGCCACTCCCTCTCCCCTTCCATACTTCAGTCTTCCCTGTAGCACTTCTCACACCTGCCAGCATACAAGTGTAGAGTCTGGCCTTTGCCCCGGGGCAGGTTTGCAGTAACTGGTGCCTGGCTCCTGGACAGCACTCAGCAACCCCTCTGGATTTTGTGTGAGTGAGTGTACATTTTTTGTACACATGTGTGCATCTGCTGTAGAGGACAGACAATTTCATGCTGTGACCGTCACTGCTGGGATGTAGCCCCACCTGCCAGCGAGATCCAGATAGGACAGATCATTCCCTATAAATACCTTGACTGTCTGACTCCGGCCCTGTGCCCCACAGCGTCCGGGTTTGTGCTGGTTCCTGGGACAGGCAGATGGCCCATCCCAGGGAAACATGATGGGTGGTTTCCCCTTGCCCGGGGGGGTCAGGCCCCAGTACCCTACCCCTCCTCCCTGTCCTACATAACCAACCCCTTAGCGATTGCTGCACGGTGCAGAGGGTGTCCGTGGCATCCAGTGCAGCCTGGGATGCGGCTCGTATGTAAGTTCCCTTAATAAGCTCTTTTTTTTTTTGGTTATAAAAGTATGCTGGCAGTGTGAACATTTATTGAGACTGCACTCTTCTATTTTGTGCTCTTTTGTGGTACATGTTACATTTTTAAAAAACATTTTTATTGACTTTACTGGGGCCCTTAATACACTCTTCATGCCTGGCCAGGCGTGGCTCAGCAGTTGAGCATCGACCTAGGATCCAAGAGATAGCGGTTCGATTCCCAGTCAGGGCACATGCCCGGGTTGCAGGCTTGATCCCCGGTCAGGGGCGCGCAGNCGGGCTGCAGGCTTGATCCCCGGTCAGGGGCGCGCAGGAGGCAGCCGATCAATGACTCTCATCATTGATGCTTCTCTCTCTCTCTCCCCCTCTCCTTCTCCTTTCCTCTCTCTGAAATCAATAAAGATATATTTAAAAAAACCCACACTTTTCATGTGATGACAGAACGTCAGTGTCTTCCTCTGGGCTCTGGGCTCTGGGCTCTGGGCCCGGGAAAAGGTCCCCGCAGGCTGCACGTGCGCGCCCTGTGTCTCCCAGGCCTGGTGGCGCCCAGTGCCTGCTCGTCCCTTTGCGCCTGGCCAGCAGCGCGGCTTGAGCCTTGTCCCACAGCAGACAGGGACCCATCAGACTGCAGATGCCCCATGCTGGGGTGGCCCAGGCCCAGGGCGCCTTCGTGATTGTCAGTACCTGTCTGGTGGGCGGCGTGTGGCCCCCTCAGGTGCATGGACCTATCCTGGGAAAGAAATTCGCCTCTAAAAGGCAAGTGCACCATTTTTTGTTATAGGTGGGATGGGAGATAGGAATTTTGGACTTCGAGTAGTAAAAGTAATGTGACCTCACTTTAACCCTTAAGCTAGCGATTTTCAACCAGTGAGCCGCAAGAATTTTTAAAACACCCAATACCTGACTATTTAGCCAGGGGCACGAACCTCTTTTCCCAGATTTCCCAATAAAAAAAGACAAGAGATAACACAACCATAGCCATCCAGTGTGAATGAACCAAAATTATACCTATTTTTTGTCAGATTGGCAAAAAATATATTTTTTGTTGCGCTGCAGAATTTTAGTAATTGGTTTAGTGAGCCATAAGAAAAAAACGGCTGCAAAGCGCTACCTTAAGCTGATAATGTGGGAGAAATTTGTGGCTTAAAAAAGAGGAGGAGGGTGGCAAGGAGGAGGAGAGAGAGAGAACACACAGGGCCTGCGTGACCCCTGAATGAAGACTGGGGTCCTCAGGCAGCCGCAAGGCAGTGTCCCTGTCTCCAACCGCCCCTCTCGCCCAGCAGGGCCAACTGGCTCTGAGTTCTGGGTTCCTAAAAAAATCCCTCCCTGAATCTGCCCAGGCCTCAAAGCCACACAGGCTTCTGGGTCTCCACCAGCTCGGGGAATCACCTGGCTTCTGGGGCCCTTGGGTGTCTCTCCTGGGGAGGAGTAACACAGACTCTTTCCGGAAGGGCGTGAGGACTGAAGGAGCAGTCATTTATGGGTCAGCAGGGGGCCTGGCACACGTTAGGCCTCATGGAAAACGACTGTTCTAGTTGGATGGAAAGCCGGCCTCATGCCTCACACAACTCCCTCGTTAATTACTGCCTCTGTCTCATTCATTCAATATCCACTCATACATGATCTGTTAAGCAGGGTTGCCAGACTCAGCAAATACAAATATAGAACACCAGTTAAATATTAGTTTCAGATAAACAATGAATTACTTTCTAAGTGTAATACGTCCCAAATAGTACATACGCTATAGGGACATACTTACACTAAAACTATTTGTTGTATATCTGAAATTCAATTTTAACTGGGCACTGTTGTATCTGGTGAACTTAGCTTTGAGGAGTGGCAACTGGGCTTTGCCTCCCATTGCTGGCGTCTCCCTATCCCTCCCAGGGCATTTCCCACAGGGACTTGGTGCATGGCTGAGTGATAAAAACTTCTATTTTGTACATGGATGGTCTTGGTCTTGATTTTGGTTTCATGATGGAAACCAAATCCCAGAAAAATGTCAGAATCAATGAGTTAATGAAGAGTCCTTTCAAAATTGTATATACAATTGATATCAACTATTAGTTGATATCAGCTATTTAAATATATGCATGAAAAATAATGGAGGAAATACACCCAAATATATTTGGATAATTATGGGTTATTATAATATAGCCCAAATGCTATCAGCCTTACCAGCTCATGCAGGTGAATGAAACCATGTTGACAAACACAATTAAAAGCCTGGTTTCTACTGACATGGTTACAGGGACTCGTGGACCCTTGGCAATGATCTCCTGTCCCAGGTGCTTCTGAGAGTTCCCAGAGGGGTGGTTTTCCAGTTGCTCCCAAACTAGTCTACAAGCTCTATTTGCCCCATAATGTCCCCTCCATTTCTAATCCCCCCTTGCAAGTGTCTGTCATCACATAGCTATTGGGGGAGCTAGCGTCCTCACCAAGGCTGATTTCTCCAGGAATGGCTGCCAAAGCCAAAGTCAGCGATGCTCAGGGGTTGAGGGGCTGGTTCCAGGCAGAGGTGGGAGAGTGCCCCCTCCCTGCACCCTGCTCCCTCTGGCCCTGGGCGCCACCCTCCAAAGGGCTCTCAGAACCTGGCTCCTAGTTTTCCTCACAGAGGCCACGCCTTACTCGGGAGCTCTTTGACCAGCACGAAATCTCCCACCAAGACCCTTTAAACACTGCCATCATTCTAATGACTTTTATTTTTAAAAAGAAAAATTGTAACTTAAAAATATATACATCATCCACATTTCAATTATTTTCCTCTATAAACTTTAATTCCTCAAATGGCTGGAATATAAAAGGACTGCAGTGACTGCAGAAAGCAAATGAGAGGAACTGACCTACTGGTTTTATTCTAGAATCAGGTATGGGTTGAGAGCCTTGGCCCGCAGATTCTTCATTTCCTCCAGCACCTTTTCTCCGGCCTTCTCCATTGGTTGTGCCTGGTCTTTCACCTCTCTAAATATCAAAGAACCAGACAAGGATGCATCAGGGCACTTGATATTCATAGGACACTCGAGTCACCCACCAGTGCCCTCAGTGAAGGTTTAAGGAGCCGTTTTACATATATATATATATATATATATACACACACACACACACACACATATATACATATATATGTGTATATTAGTGGTAATTTAGTTGCCAGTGAAAACACTTGGCTAAGTGATTCAAACCTGGCTTCCAATCTCACTGCGCCAGCTGCTTAGCGTGCACAGTTACCTAAACTTTGTCTCCCTTTCCAGATGCAGAAGTGGTGATGATTCCCATCTCCCAGTGCTGTTGCGAAGGTGAAATGAGAAATTATTTACAGACATTTTAGTGCAATGTCTTCTAAATGCTCAGCTGGCTATAGTTGATTCTTCATGTGTGTAAATAAAGTAGACACACAGTATCTCTGACTCTGATGACAGCTCCAGCAGGGGGGAGTCAGGAAGGGTGAAGCGCCTGGATGTGTGCTGGGTGTGGCAAGGGGGTGCTGGGTAGAGCTTTCCCAACATCTGGGAGGAAACGATGAGTGCGTTTGGTTCAAAGGACAGATGCCTAAAGACTGTGGGCTCAGCCATATGCTCTGCCCAGACAGAAGAATACATTATAAAATCCAGTGATTCGGAAGCATTTTCTAAAGAGGGTGAAATGTAAAGTTCTGCAAATGCCTGGTAGTTTTGAAAAACAGAGATATCTGAAAATGGAGAATTAAAATGGTCCCTAATACATATACTTAAAAATTAATCAGACCACTTTACGGAATCATTTGGGAGTATATAGGGCATGTCTCCCTTTGAAGATATTGATGACTGAGTGACACTGTGAAGACCTTTGAGTGCTGAATGAAGTGTCAGCAGCTATAGCCAGTCTTGCAATTTCCTGGACGCTTCACATGGTTCCCTTAATGGTCCTGAGAGAGCGGAGGTCACCTTCAGGGCGGCGAAGAATCTTTCAGGTTAATCACAGCCATCAAGGGAGAGCAGAGGGTTCACTGCATCCATGAAAATAGTATTTGCCAGAAACCAAATAGATAGCAGTCTCCGTGGGGAAAGCAAACAGCACTGGTGCGCTCCTGCCGCTCTGTGCCTGCCGGCTCCTGGCTGAGGCCGAAGGGCGTGAGAAAGGAGCAAGGACAGAGGACATGGGACTGGGCAGAGGGTCAGAGTCATAGGACCGAAGGGAATTTCTGAACCAAAAGAACTTTTGAAAATCGTCTATGGGATATCAACCTGTTGGAATACTAGTCAACCAATAAAGTGACAATTATGGTGGCAATTTTGACACATGAAAAAAATGTACATAAAATAATTTAAACTGCAAAATATGTGAATTCAAAATGCATGGCTACATTCACTAAAAATGTGTGAAATGTATGTGTATTTTGAAAGAATTGGAAACTAAGTTGGTGTGCAAAAAATGTTTAGAGTTTACTGTTAGTTTATTTTGTTTGGTAAAATAGCTGAAATACATTTAAAAAGGGAAAAAAGATATACCACTTTGGGTGAATATGTAAGATAGGAACTTCTATCTCATTTAATAATACTTTGACAATCCAGTGGCATTCAACATTAGCTCGGCAGGATGAAAATCACATTAAAGAGCAGTGAGCAGAGGGGTATTGGAGATCCCCTCACTCATGGGATGACCCATTCTATGTCCAGGGGAATTTCTGAAAATAGGAAAAAGAAGTTTTAATTTAAAACTCCTTGTCAACTGTTTGGAACCTGACACAAAATGCAATGCAAAGGGCATATATTTGCTGAGGTATAGGAGGTTTATGAGCTATGTAGTGTAACGTGATATTTTACTGGTAATTAACTGATCAAAACAGATCCTCACTGAAATTCCTTTAAAATTTTTTATTTCCTAAATTTTCTTTTACCAGACACTGCCATACTACTTTTGAGAAGTGCTGGTTGCTGTGGGCCTCTGAAACTACCACAGACACACCAAAGGGACTTCCAGGTGCTCTAAGACATGTAGGCATTCCTTTAAAAAAAGGAACACCCCAAAGATAGACTCTGAACTGAGAAACCTACAGCACATATAAGAAAGGGCAATTATCCTTAATATATAAAGGACTCTTACAAATAAATAAGAAAAAGATAAACATTTCCTATAAAATAGGTGAAACAAGCCTCTTATAAAGAAGAAAAAATAGTTGCTGAGCTAAAGGGAAATATTTTTTTTTATTGATTTTAGAGAGAGAAGGAGAGAGGGGGAAAGAGAGAGAGAAACATCGATGTGAGAGAGAAACATCTGTTGGTTGCCTCCCATTTGCACCCTGACTGGAGAGCAAACCCAAAACCTAGGCACGTGCCCTGACGGAGATCGAACTTGCAACCTTTTGGTGTGTGGGATGATGTTCCAACAACTGAGCCACCCAGCCAGGGAAGGAAAATTTTAATATCATTTGAAAACAAAAAAATTAAAATGAAAACAATAAGATGGACATTTAAAAATCTATCATATTGGTGCCCGGCCGGGCGTGGCTCAGCGGTTGAGCATTGACCTAGGATCTAGGCGATCGGGGTTCGATTCCCGGTCAGGGCACATGCCCGGGTTGTGGGCTCGATCAGTGACTCTCTCATCATTGGTGTTTCTATCTCTCTCTCTCCCTCTCCTTCTCTCTCTCTGAAATCAATCAAGATATATTAAAATAAATAAATAAATAAATAAAAATCTATCATCTTGTTAAAGAAAGAAAAAAATGATAGTGCTTTGTTCAGGACACTTGAATGTGGGCAGCCCTGACCTCTGCTGGTGGGAGGTATGCAGATGCAACCCCTGGCCGGCAATTGAACGATATAGATTAAAACTTTACAAGGCATATTGATCTAGCATTTGCATTTCCAGAGATTTATCCTAAGAAAACAGTCTGATAAGTTTTCAAGAAATTATGGCAAAAGGATGTTTCCTGAAGTACTACTGGTAACAGCAAAACAATGAAAAGAATTTACATGATCATCAGAAGAGGGTAGAGAGGGTTGGTTAACTAAATTATGGTACATCTACCAGTGAAATAGCATGATGTATATCTGTATTTATAAATACATGTTTATGATATATTGCTAAATAAAAGTGTATAAGACAAAATAATATGAATAATATGATTGAATTTTGTTAATACATATATATGTACATTTATTTACTTAAATAAATAAATATTTGGAGGACCATACATCAAAATGTACAAGTTACTGTCTCTGGGTGGTAGGATTATGTTTTTATTTTATTCTTTATATTTTTGTTTTATTTAAAAAACTTTTAATAGTAAAAAGCATTTTTTAAAATAAAAAGAATCTGCCCGGCCGGACGTGGCTCAGCGGTTGAACGTCAACCTAGGATCCAGGAGATCGGGGTTCGATTCCCAGTCAGGGCACATGCCCGGGTTGTGGGCTGCAGCTGATCAATGACTCTCTCATCATTGATGTTTCTATCTCTCTCTCTCCCTCTCCTTTCCTCTCTCTGAAATCAATAAAGATATATTAAAAAATAAATAAATAAATAAATAAATAAATAAATAAATAAATAAATAAATAAAATAAAATAAAATAAAATAAAAAGAATCTTTAAAAGTATACCTGGAATTTCAAACTTATGAACCATGTGAAGTACATGTGGTTATTTCTATTACAAAAGTATTCATCAGCACATTTTGTTTTGTTTTTAATCCTCTCAAGAGGGTGTTTTTCCATTGCTTTTCAGAGTGGAAGGAAGAGAGACAGAGAGAGAGAGAAACATTGATGTGAGAGAGACACATTGACTGGTTGCCTCCCACACACACCCTGACTGGGGCCGGGGATCGAGCCTACAGCCGAGGTATGTGCTCTTGGCCAGACTCAAACCCAGGACCCTTCAGTACACGGGACAACACTCTAACCACTGAGCCAACCCGCCCAGGGCAATACCAGTTTCTTTAAGGGTGATGATGTTTGCTTAGCTGGCTGGCCCCTGGCGTACAGCAAAGGGATGAATCAACATCTGCCGAGCATCTAGTTCACACCCAGCAACTAGTCCGGTGTCTTCACATTTGAGTCTCATTTACCCTTCACAACCACCTGGGAAAGAGTTTATTTTCTGCATGTACAAATGAGGAAACTGAGGCCCAGTTCCTGGAGATAAGTAACCTGGCTGGAGCTTTCGCATGTAATAAACTGTGGAGTTGGGATTCAGCCATAGGTCTCATTTGGCCCCAGAGCCTGGGCTCCGCGCGCGGAATGAAACTCCCTCAGCTAGCAGTAAGAAACAAATACATCTCTGAAGTTAAGTGATAAGCACCTAGAAAAATTGGATTCAGTTTTTAAAGGCTACTGGCCAGCAACATCTAAGGGGATGCAACTGTGCCTAAGATAAAATACGCATCTAAATATCGAAATCATTGAAAACCTCTCTCTCAAAACCTGCAAAATTTAGATTCAGGCAACATGACAGTTCTGTGTTTTCTGCCAGACAAATTTTACCCAGGGCCACCTCTTACTAGGCATAAGAGCATCCGCTTACTTCTCCTTTTTGGTGTCCTTGTGGTCCAACATAGGGAATTCCACTTCGATCATTTCTGGGGTCAGCATAACTTCTGTATTTTGTTCATAGAGCTCACTGAAAAGGAGTAAGATGTTTAGCTGGAACAGTGTTTCCTTCCCAAAATAGAACAGAGAAATACTGTAGTCATTTAAGAGTTACACAGCCCTTGTGGCCTTCAGCGTTAGTTCTACCTACTTGTGCTGAGTCCGTGCTGAGAGAGCATAAGGCTGATAAATTGCTTTCCACCAGCGAACAACAATAGGAGTAGTTATTTATAACCAGAGAATAAAAAGGAAGTTTTAAAACGGGGTTACAGAATTCAGGTTCTTTTCAAGTGCACATGGAACACTTATCAATATTGACCATACCCTGGCCTATAAAGGAAGCCTGACTGAAATCATTCAGAGTACATTCTCTGGCCACAAAGGAGTTCAAATAGAAATCAGCTGCAAAGAAGGTAACTAAAAAAACCCACAACTGTTTGAAAAATTAAACAATATGTTGCTAAATAATTGATGGGTGAAAGAACAAGTTAACAGACCGAGGTTAGCTGTATCTTGTCGTCTGCTATCTGGTAGGCCGGGAGTCAGCAAGCTTTTTCTGTAAAGGGTTTGCAGGCCGCACGGTCTCTTATGTGACTAACTACTCAACTCTGCTATTGTAGCATGAAAGGGATCATAGGAAATACACAAATAAATGGCTGTGGTTATGCTACAATAAAACTTTATTTGTAAAAACAGGTGGCAGGCCAGATTTGGCCGTGGGCCAGTGTGCTGACCCCTGGGCTGGAGCTCTGCTGCTTGATGGTTACGTAAAGCTGGGTCACTGCACAGAGGAGCTGGAGCAGGGGAGGGAGAGAGTATGGAGGAGACACACTCACTCCTCAAAGGGTCCTGACCTCAGAAGTAGGAAAGCTCAGGCCTGCTCACACTGTTTTGGCAAAGGCTTAGTCAAATGGGTGACTTAGCTGCAAGGGAGACTGGAAAGTATAGCCTCTTGATTGATTTATTTATTTGTTTATTTATTTATTTATTATTTCTTCACCCAAGGATATTTTTTCCATTGCTTTTCAAAGGGGGGGGGAGAAACATCCATGTGAGACAGACACATCTGCTGGCCAGAGGTATGTGCCCTTGGCTGGAATCAAACCTGGGACCCCTCAGTCTGCACAGGCAGACGCTCTAATCACTGTGCGAAACTGGCTAGGGCTAGCCCCTAGTTTTAACAGGTCTATTACTTTAGGAGGAGAGGAGAATGTGTTTTTTGATAGCAGTTGTCTCCACCACGCTCAAAGAGAAATGCTTCCAAGATCACCAAAGGCAACAAGGGCCTCAAAGTTTGGAATCACAAACAGGAACCCTCTTCAGCAGTGGTACATGAATGGAGTGGGCCTTGCAAGCTTCTGTTAAGGAAAGTACCTGTGAAGGCTGCAAAAGTTGTTCTAGTCCCACAAGATTGAGAGCTAACAATTACTAAGCAGCGGCTATATGTGAACCACTACGCTGCCGGCTCTGCAAACGTGATCTTCCCATTAGCAGTTTCCTCACCCTGTGGGGTGATGACAAGAGCCCATCCTGGAGATTAAATGAGACTGCTTGCCAAGCACTGCGCCTGGTCCACACTGAGAGTTCCACAAATATGCGTTACTATAGTAACCAACCGCATCACTAGCATCGTCATCTCCTTCAACTCTAAGCCCCCCTTATGAAGTAGGCACTATTGTTCTCATTTCAAAGATGAGGAAACTGAGTCACAATAGTCTTAACATTAGCGGTGAATGAAGGAGAGGTTAGCTATGTTTTGGTTTGCTGAGCGGCTCCCCAGAGGCCCTGGCAGACAGGACTTGCTCCTCTGGGCCCTGGCTGCAGCCGCCTCAGGAATGCCCCCTTGCGGTGGGATGAACAGAAGACATTCCAGCCTTCCTGTTCGGATTTGGATTCCTGCTTTAAATGCTCAGGGTATTGCCAAGAATCACTGCTCGTGGGCAGGTCTTAGAAGAACTGGCTATACGTCTCAGATATCTGGGATTTCACTAATTGATTATTTATATGTAAAAACATTTAAGTGGGCACTGTGATAGGAGATTCAAGGACATATTTTTACTGGATGTTGGACGCTCATCAGTAAAATGAAATTTAAGTGCCTTGGTTTTGGGCCTATATTTCTTCATGCCTCTCCAAGTCCTGCCTATCCTTCAGTTACCTACCCAAGTCCACATGACCACTGAAGCCTAGGTGGGTTTGGAAAACTGACCTAGCACTGCCTCTGCTCTTCCTCCCTTGAGCTCCCAGACACCTAAAGATCAGCAAGTCTGAGACCTGAGAGACTGTGTACTCCCTGCGACGAATTTAGCATCATATCCACTTAGGGGTACGGCTAGGTGTTGGCCTTGTCCCGTTTGGGTTGCAAGCTCAGGCACAGCATCCAGCATATTTTTGGAAAACAGACTACATTAGAGACCGAAGGTAAAAACTGTACCGTTCGACTGTTTCCAATCTGTCTTCTTCTGGTAAGGCTTTCAGAACAGCAGGGACATCTATAGGAAGCATAACTGAGTTGAGGGAGTCACAGCTGTGGAAAAATCACACAAGCAGCCGAAGATAAATGATCACATTTGCAGTCCTGGGGGCTTTGCATCATTTTCTAAAGCACTTTTATTGAACCCCTGCTGAGGCTTTGCCATTCTGTCCACCTTCACTTCTGAAATCCACTTACATTTTCCTAGAGGCAAAGGCTGGGGTGTGACAGGTACCAGTCAAATCCAGAATGTTGCCAAACAAGACATCTCTCAGGGTTCAGAAACAGAATTTTTGTATAAGAAAGATGGGAAAGTAAGAAAAATACATATATTCTGCTCAGTGTTATAAAGAGAAGCAAAGGACAGGTGGCTTAGAGACCAAGCTGGTTACCGCGAAGGGTGGGAGGGAGCGGCCCTGCTCTGAATGCCCCTCAGGCAGTTTTGAGTTTGGAAAGCACGTCAACGTCCTACACGTCAAAATAATAACATTGAATCAATCAGAAGGAAAGGAAAACCCCCCAAAAGAAAGCAAACTGAAACAAATAATGTTTCACATGAATTCCAAAATCACACTGGAGGGAAAGAAAGGGGAAGAGCGGGAGAGAGAGAGGGAAGGAAGGAAGGAAGGGAGGGAGGGAGGAGGGAGGGAGCTCTGGTTTCACCTGGAGAGGAACCATTCTGGCAATCAGATGATCAAAATATCGATCGACTGCTTCCACAAAGCCCTTGTGGGTTGTTCTCAGGGTCATCCTGGGGTCCTGCAGTAACCAGCTGGGGGAGAAAGCAGACAAGCTCAGAGTCTGCGGCGGAAGCAGGAGGCGGTGGAGGGGCAGCCAGCGCCTTCCCAGAGCTCCCTCCAGCAGTTTAATCTCCTGATCTCGTAGCCCTCAGGGTTCCTGGAAGATGCTCTCTGGACCATCTCACAGAGCTGTCAGATTTACAGGTGTCGTAGGGACACTTTACGGCTCAGGAGGTGCTACACCTCCATCATGGTCCACACTGCCCCACAATCCCCTACACACCCCTACACACTCACACCCACCCACACACATCCTCACACTCCCACACACACCTGAACACACTCACACACACACCCACACACTCACACACACATACCCCCACCCCCACATCCATACACACTCACACCCCACATCGCCCCCCACACACACACCCTACACATACCCCACACCCC